AACCCACCGGGACACATGATGGAGAACAGGGAGGTGGAGGGCACGGTGGGGTCGGGGGGGGGGACAGCTGGAGCTCCCGAGCCGGGGTGGGTTTGCTTCCTTGCCAGGCAGCCCCCCGCCTCCGCCGCCACGATATGGTGCTCAGGAGCTCACCACGGCTCCGCAAACCGCACCCGGAGCCACAGAGACCTGCTGAGTCGACCTGCTGGTGTTAATTACAGAGCAAAGGGCGCAGCTCAGGCTTAGGGCTAGCGGCCAGGGTGGGGAACCTGATTGTTAAGCAATTAAAATCTCAGTGGGTTTTTTAAAAAACAAAAAAAGGACCAAAAAGAGGAGTTTGAGCATGCAATTTTTAGGTCTGTTTTTAGGGAAGGGAAGTGGACACTCTGAGCAGCCAGCTAACTGAAGGCAAAGGCACGGTGAGGGCTTCGTAGCATCACACCCAGGTTCCTGGCCTGCCAGACCCCCTCTTCAAGGGCAAAGCCCTTCCTGCACGTGCAGAGCTACCCTGATATCCGGAGCTGTTGTGGGCCTTTATTGTCCCTCCTGAGCAAGGTACCCGCGTAGCCACCTCCTCCAACCCTCCCAGCAGCCCACCTCGTTCTCACAGATCGTAGTGCCTGCGGAGAAAACCATGGGGCCAAATAGGGACCGATGGGATACGCGAAAGACCTTTGGCTTTCATCTCCAAGCACCGAGGAACGGTGGGGATGTCCAAGTGCTCCTTGGGAGGAAAGAGGGTTGCATGTCTCAGCTGGGCCCTCCCATCTTCACGGGGCGGTTTCTGATGCTCCCTTCCTCTCTCTCCCTTGCAGTCTCCAGGCCGCAGACTTCCCCCGAGGACTTGAAGGTGCTGATGGGGAACGTGAACCACCTGAACGAGAGTTTCCGGGACATGCAGCTGAAGCTGCTGCACCTACCTCTGAAAGGGGATGTGATGGATCACATCTGGAGGCTCCAGGACCTCCTGCAGAACCACTCAGACTCCTTGTTCCTCATGACGGGATCACTGCAGAAGCTGGAAGGGCTTCTCTGGAGTCTGCAGACCCAGGCCAGCCAAACTGACAAGGCAGTGTCCAACCTCTGGGACAGCTTGACTCAGCAGAGTGACACAGCTCAGCAGGAGATGTACAAGCTCTCCGTGGAAGGCAATAGCAGTCGGCTGCTGCTCCAGCACCATGACCACCTCCTGACCCACCTCAGTAGCAGGGTGGAGAGCTTGAGTGACCAGGTGATGGCAGCAAGTGGGGCTGTGGACACCATGAACAGGACCTTCTCCTATGACGTGAACATCCACCACACCCGCATCCAGGACCTGCAGGTGCTGATCAGCAACGCCACCGAAGACGCCCGGCAGATGCGTCTCATCCACATAGCCATGGAAGAGCAACTGAAGCGTGAGCTGGCCATCCTCAACAACGTGACGGAAGACCTGCGGCTCAAGGACTGGGAGCACTCAGTCGCTCTGAAGAACATCTCCGTGATACGGGGTAAGCTGAGCACCCTCTTGTAAGCAGCTCCTTTGCTGGCGCGTGGCGCTGTCATGAGGAAGGGGATGTCCCCAGTACTTTGGGTGGTGATGGGTGCGTGCCCCATGGCATGCAGCTGCAGCTGATGGAGCGGTGGGAACCTTGGCTATTGCTGGAACAAGTGCTTCATTTCCCCTATCCTTATAGGCTTGGTATACCTGCCTAAACCTGAGTGTCCAGCATCACTTGAGATGCTATAGGGTAGCCCCCTTGCCTCCAGCTACTATCCTGAAAGGGCTGGATTTGTCCCAGACCTTTGTATCTACCTGTCCAATGGGGATGTCTCAGGTACTCTTGGGTGTATCAAACCCACTAAGCACCTACGTTTAGGTGTCTGCAATGTTTAGGTGTCTCCATCACCTTGGACTTTCTTTGTAGTGAGTGAGGCTCTAGTCTGTTAAGGAGTTAGGAAGGGGTGACATGTTAGGTGGTCCATCCAGATGTTTCCCAGTCCATATTAGGAGGAAATCTCCCAGGGTTCCCTCACTGATGCTAGGGAGAACTATGCCAGGTCCCACCTGAACATGAAGGTGAGCCAGATGTGAGTACGGCAGAAACAATGGGTTTTTTGACCTGCTTCAAACTGCAGTGATCAAGCAGAAGGCTATCCAGCAGGTATCCTCAGTCATCATCGATCACACCATTTGTTCTACCTCATCCTTTTTTTTTTCCATATTTTCACTCCCATGTTCTTCTCCTTTACCACCTGCAACCCTTCCCAAACAATCAGCCCATCCCTGTTAGCCCATTGTCCCTAGTTTTGCTGGTATCTTTTTTTTTGGAACTTATGACATGGTTGCCTTGGTAGTCCCCCCTTAGTCATCAATCTGCTAAGCACCTACTCCCCCCTTTTTTTTTTTATTACCTATAAGGACCAGCGGTTTCTCACATCATTATCTTGTTAGTTATCTTGTTAACTATATATGGTCAGGGTTAGCCATCTGCTTGGACATTATTTCCTCTTTGATATCAAGAATTTCTACCTGTTTCTCACATTACTCTCTTGTTAGTGTAGCCATACAGTTGGGATAGGCCATTTATCTGCGTACCTCAGCGTAGTCCATGCAGCGAGTGACTAGATTTCCTTGGGTACAGAGAGCTCGGAGGTGACCAGCTCAGATGGAGATATCTGCACTGGAGAGACCTGTGTCTGCTGTGATGGATCCCGGTCAAGTTGTCTGATGTGACTGGGAAGCAGCACAATCAGGGCCCCTCCATGCTAGGTGCTCCACAAAGGGACAGGTGCTTTTTGCCTCATTAGAGACTGAAGTAGACAAGGCAGATGTGGGACAGGGAGAGGAATGAGGCTGGAAAAATAAAATAGGTAGAACGGCCTCCGGAAGCCAACGACAGAGCGAAGGGAGCTACAGCCCGTAGGAGCAACCTGGCTCCATGGGACTGTGAGGAAGGGAAAGGGCTGGGCTCTTCAGGAAAAGGGCATCTGAACAGGGCTGTGATGGGAGCCCCCAAAATCGTGAGCATCCTTATGACTTATGGCACGAGGTCAAGGAGGCACCTGATGCAATGAGAGGAAGCAAGCCAAAGACAGGCTGAAGGAAGCCCTTTTCCATACGCTGCCTTTTTCACCTGGCTGGGACTCCTTCCTGCAGGACTTTGTGGAAGCCAGAAATTTGAGCGGGCTCAAAAGGGGCTAGACAAATTCGCGCAGGACACATTCAATGGCCTGGTCAGAGTGGCTTGGGAAGTCACTTTGATCTGACTCAGTGAGGTGGGGCAATACCAATCTATCCAGCTCACGGCTTCATCCGCTACCTGCCCAGGACCACCACATCCATCTCTGTGCCTCTGAGCCGCTGCGGGTTTTCCTCCCAGGAATGATGCCCCTGTGCTGGAAGCTGCATTTAGGACTCTGGAAACAGAGCAGTGACATGTCCCCACTGCAGTTTCAGACGCATCTAGGCTTGGCTGCATGCTGGGGGCCAGTTTCTGGCCTACTTCCAGGCTATTTGTTTGCACCTACAGCATAGCAATGAGACATTGCTCTGCTACCAAACCTCTGAGTCCAGGCAGACCTTTCTCAGGTGCTTCCACTTGAAACGCCACACAGGTCACGGAGGGGTGGACACCAAAGCACTGTCTACTGGGCCAGCTGTGGGCTGCATATCTTGAGCTGCAGCCTCTACCTTCACCCACATGGGCCACATGGAGCCCTCGGGCACCGGTAGGACCCTGGGATAATTTCCCCTGGTCCTTGGGGGACGTTTGCTGCCGATGCCAGGTTCAGAGCTGCTGGGGCCGCGCCACATCCAGACCCCCAACTGGTTTGCAACTTCAGATAAAGCCACAGGGGAAGTGGGACTCACGCTGCGACTCCCCAGCTCAGCTCCCCTAGGAGCGGTGACGGCCGTCCGTGCATCACAGTCTGACACCCGTGTGCCAGGGTGCTCCAATTAGCGCGGACAGAAAGCAAACCAAATCCCTCCGAATAGGCCAGCACCTGATTTATGAGTCACCGCTCTGACGCATTCCTGGCAGCCCCGACCTATGCTCGCTCTCCTTCCCTCTTTTTCCTCTCCTCGTCTTTTCTCCCTTTCCACTTGCTGTCGGCAGCGATGGGCTGGGCAGCTTTATTTTATAAATTTTATTATAATTTATGAGTCTTATGCCCATCTGGCAGACCTACCTTCCAGGAAGGGGCTTTATCCCCAGCTCCTCACGCTCCCGGCTGAGCCAGCTGTGCTCCCAGGCGGATTTGCATGGAGCAGGGAGGTGCGGGGCTGCCTGCCTGGGTGGTGCATTTCCCTCCCCAGAGGCTACCCTGGGCTCTGGCTTCTCAAGGACGTTTTTTGTGATGAAGTCTGCCCGGGGAGGTCTCGAGGATACAGGGACTGGGATTGTCTCCAGCAGAGGCGAGGGAGGACTCGGTACATGTGTGTGGCTGGGGTCTCACCCCACCTCGCGGCCGGCCATGCCAAGCACCCCATGCGTCTCGGAGATGGCTTAGCCTCACGGCACAGAGTGGGATCTGGATCTTAAATAACCATGTCAGCAGGAGGGATGGTGCCCAAAATCCACCACGGCTCAAGCTGCCTGTCCGGAGCCACTTGCATAACTCACTGGGTGGGATGTGCTGGCTCGCACCGCGCAGCAGGTCTGGCGGGGTAATTGCAAAGTCCCATCTGGCCTTCAGAGCTCTGTGCTTCTCTAAAGTCCACGTCCCGCCTGTTTTGAAGGGCTTTTCTCCTGTGCTGCTCCCAAAGGAGCAGCAGCAAATGCGATGTGCAGCCCAGCCCAGTGCTGTCAGCGAAGTGAAGCCGGGGGTGCAGCTGGGCTGGTGTTTTCCAGCCCAGGGTGGGGTGGGGACCAGCTTGGCAAAGTGTCTGCAGTGCTGGTCACCTCTCCTTGTCTCCGAACTGCAGCCTCTCCCAACCGCCCCTCCCAGTGCTCCTCCGTCCTCATCCCGGCTTCTCCCAGCCAGGGGGTATAGCTAGGGATGGGACCATCTCTGCTTGCCTACGGCTCATCGAGCCACGCTGCTGTAGCCAAGAGGAGATGCTCTGATGGTTTATGGACCACAAAATAGCTTTTTGGCTCGGGTGCTTCCAAGTTTGCTGCCCTTGAGGCCCATAAAAGGGGCAGGCAGATCTCTGCTGCCTGTTCAGCTGTGTATACGCCGGAATAAGAGACAAGTCCAGCATGTCTCTTCCCTGGCTTTATTCTCCCAGTCCCCAGTGCTCTGGGAGCAGAAGAGGTTGGCAGTTACCCATACGCCCATCCTTGATGAAATCTAGTCCCTGTCTTAGGCTGTGCATGCCTCCCTGACACCCTGCGGGATGGTTTTCTGCCCTTCCTTGGGTTGCTTTGCAGGACAGAGGGGCGCAGAGCTAATGGGGCTCTGCAGGCAGCACTGGAGCAGCGTCTGCTCCCAGGCCAAAGGCTCACCTTGATATTGGTCTGCAGTTTGGGGGGGGGGGGGGGGCGCATGTTGGTTGGGGCTGATTTTAAGTAGGGAGGACAACTCCAAACCCCTGTGAGATGTGCCCAGGGCAGGCAGTTCCCACGTCCCTTCCTGGCGTTAATGGAAATGAGGTGGGGCCCTTGTGTGGGTTATTTGCCAGTGTGCCCATAAAATCGGAGCAGATGGAAGTCTTTGGGGCTGCCCCTGCTCAGGGGAGCTCAGCCCAGCCGTGCTGGAGCCAGCGTGTGTGGGAGCAAAGCATCTGGCGTCAGCAACTGCTCTGCTCCCGTCCTGTTGGTGTGGGACCCAGGGAAGTGAAGGGTGTTTAATCAGAAAGGATATTCAGGGCAACGTGAGGGTGACAAAGGAGGCTTTTTCTCTGAGATGTTTCCAGCATTGCTTTTAGTTTTGCTTGTGGCAGGGAAGCATCTGTTATGTTTAAGCAAGTGGCTTTTTACAGCCCAACCTTTGCTCTGCTGAGGTGGAGCCGGCAAAGGAAGAACTTGGCCCAAACCCAGGAGTACGCTTGGGTCCTGCAGAGTTTCCACTGCTCACCCTGGGGGACCTGGGGCCTCAGGGCTGGAGGTACCCAGGTAGCAAACCCTGATGTCACAGAGATGCCCCTGCCTTGATGCTCCTCTACAACCCGTTAAGCTCACTGTCACTTTATGAGGATATAACGCTAGTTTGACGGGCTCTGCTTTCTGTAATGCCCCGTAGGCTGGAATTAGTGGTATCATCTTTGAAATCTTTGTGAAATTCTGCATTAGCTCTTTATTTCAGATGGGATTGAGTGGTATGGGGCAGTCTGAACATATTCCCACATTGTTTCATTTTCTCTTTAACAAATTGGCATGATGAGAACTCCCTCTTGGCCTTTCAGGACACTGAAAATCAATAGCAGTACTTAACACCGTCTATTTATGTAATCATATGCTTCCTATAATTTATTTGTCTATCCATTCAGTTTTTCAGACTCCAAGGGGTGAGTAACACAGAGAGGCTGATTTGAGAAAGGGTGGTGTTAAGAGCTGTTGTGTAACACCCTTCTTTAATACTATGGGAATGAAAACTATTTTATTAGCAGTCGCAGCCGCTTTATGCAGCCCATACCTCGCCTGGCTCCTGCCCCACGGCCCCCTTTGACGTCGACTGAACGTTGAATTGAACGTTGCTGAACCTGTGCCGCTATTGACAGTTCTGCCAGTCCCACCCAGGGCCAAGTCGCCTTCCCTGCTGCGCGTTGTCCCTTTTGTTCCTATCCTAAAACGCCTCCTTATTGTACTTAACTCTGCTGGGTATCGATTGGTCTTAGCATCCTTTTGTTTCACTAACTGATTTTCCGCACCTCAGAGCATGAGACCTGCCACGCAGGGTCGCACCAGGGTGTCCCAAGCCCCACGTCCTCTCAGAGCCCAGAGATGGACATCTAGTCCATCCATCTTTCCAGCCTAGTCCATCTAGTCCAAGAGTAAAACCAGGGCAAGCTAACGCAAGATTTCCCGGTAGTCCTTTCGAGCCTCTGTCCATCTTCTGCTTGGGACATTTCCTGAGCCTGTTGTGGTTCATCTTCTTAGGAACCCACAGAGCACTGTTCTTAATTTCTGGATGATATTTGCAGTTCCTAATAAATCACTTATTAGGCTCACTAAGCCTCTCCCCTCTTCCTTTCCTGATTCTTTTGTATTATCACTTTGTCCATAACCCTGGCCAGTTGTTTGCTTTCTGCACAACTGTGAGTTTATGGCTTTTGGGATTTCTAGGAAAACAGTGTTTAAAAGTTTCCAATTATCACCCTGCCTTGGTAGGACAAAGACCAAATGACCCCTTAAGGCCTCTCCAAAGAGGCTGCTCCAGTGCTGCCCAATTGTCTATGATCCCATCAGTTATTTTTTCTAGTCAGATCCTGTCTTCCAATTGATTTAGTTCCTAATTGTTTTCAGCTTTGAGGAATTGGCCCTTTTCAAGCCGATGACTGTAACGCTATTATAGTTTGGACTTTCTGCTTGAATATACAGCCATGTCACAACGGTTTACACTGAAGCAACCCCCGATGGTTAGCTCTGTACTGGGTTGTTCTTAGCCAGCAGTGATGAGTTCTGCAATGCAAATCCCCTCCTAAAGGTTCATCTCAGTATTTCCAAAATGCATTTCCTTTTTCTCTAAGTAATGTCATTGGAAAAGTCACAATTTTTGGTTAAGAGGAAATTCCAAGAAACTGGAATTTCCTTTGGAGCCACGTTCAGGTGGAATCACAGGAACTGCAGGGTGAAGTTTTCTGGCATGCGAGACGGTAATTGAGAGAGTTCTTGGCCTTTAAAATGCACAGATCATGGAGCAGGGCTCCTGGCAAATTCCCTCTCTGTCACTTAGCTCCTCTGTGGTGGAGATTTGTGTTTATTAGAGGCTCCTAGATACCTGATAAACAATACAGACGGCAAAGGAGTCATCTCTGTGTGTGTGTGTGTGTGTGTGTGTGTGTGCGCGCGCGTGCGTGCATCTGCTGAATGGCTGCTCTGCAGGTGGAGAATCACTGAACTCTGTACCCGTTGTATTTCAGGGCCTCCAGGACCCAAAGGAGACCAAGGCAATGAAGGAATGGAAGGTGAACCTGGTCTTCCCGGCCTCCCTGGGCTGCGAGGTAAGGAACAACATGTCCAGAGAACAGAAAACTCAGCCAAGCTTGACCCAGAGTGCACAGTGTCAACAGGACCGTTCCCAGTGACTTCTCTAGGGTCCCAGTCTGACCCTTGGGACCTTGCTGGCACTGTACAAAGATTAAATAATGTTAGGGTGAACCTGCTGTCTCATCGCCTGCCAAATTGCTGGGGCTGTTCTTTGCCACAGATTCCTCTATCTCTTGGCCTCCTTTCACACTTCAGTGACTCAAATCATGATGAGTCCTCCACATCCCATAGACTGATCTGTCATCTGAGATCACCACATCTACCTTAAGCCTAGCTTATCTCTTTGCTAGCTATATTGCACCCAATTAGTTTCCCTGCATGCATGAGACTCGAGGTAATTTTCCAGAGCCTGCTGTCCTCTCTGGAAGCCCTTCTTCTCGTGGTAAGGGTGTAGGGTGGGTAGGACCCAGCTTGCAGTGCCTAGTCACAGCTCTGACACTGATTAGCTATGAGACCTTGGAAACTGCTCCCCGTTAGTAGGCTTGGGGGTATTAGTACCAATCCTCTCTGATATGGCATCCTGATGATCTTTGAAAGCTCTTAGGTCTTCTGGTCCCTGTTGTATCTCCTTGCATCATCCTGTTTCATTCCCTTCTTACATCCAAGATTCTCTCTTCCCTGTCCATGCTGACATCGTTTCCAATACTGCATGGCAGTCCTTCTCTTCCTCTGGCTACTTAGCAGCTGTCCCTTCCTGAAGTCCAATATTTGGAGGGTTTGAGTGATCCCATATCCCATAGGTTTCAGGAGGACCTTCAGGCCAGTGTGCACCCCCTGTTCCCACCACTAGCAGGGCGAATCTGTGGTGCTCAGTACCGCAATGCCTGGGCTGACCCAGTGCTGGGAATGAGACACCAAGCCTGGAGAGGCTTCTGCTTGGACCACACTGTCCCTTACTCGGGTGCAGAAATGCAAGTCTTCAGGGACAAAAGTCTCTCTCATCTTCCATCTTGTTCCCTTGGCCTCCTGCCTTCCCCCTGCATTACTGGAAGGACAGTGAGAGCTGTACAAGTCCATTAGCTGCCTGCAGGTTCCTTTGAAATAGCCACCCAGCAAAGGTTGATGTTTCTCAGAGCTGGAACTGGCCACAGCCCTGTGCTCACTCAAAGGGCCTTTAGGAGACACAAGGCTCCACACCAGCAGCTTGCAACCAAAGGTAGGGAAGAGAGACCGAGCACAGAGCCAGCCTGTGAGAGGGGACCCCAGGCATCGGCGAGGCTGGGAAAGCTGAGGCTTTGAGGGGTTTTGTAGGATACTTCTTCAATTTCAAGAATGCATTAGTTTTTTCTTCTTAATTCAAATCATTGTTTTTACCATAAATTCAGTTTAAGAAGCAACAAATCCCCATCCCCAGGAAAACATGTTTTTCTGGCTAACAAGAAACCTGTTCTGTCACATCAGAAAGAGCCAGGGGAAAAAGCCAGGATTCCCCTTCCGCTACGATGGCGCAGCCGAGGGCTCTGGCCAAGTGAACCCTGACCACAGATATTCTGGGCATGCCTGGCCCTCTGGATGCGTGCTCAGCTTGAGCCTGTTTCTAATTTTAAGCCAATCCTGGAACTACTGGGTTTACACCCAAGACACGGACATGGTGCAGAGCTTGCTGGAGGATCCCTCTTGGTGAAGACCTTCTGCAGTCTGGTGGCTTCTGTCCCCTACAGGCTCTTTCCTGTCAAGGTGACAGGATCCTTCCTATCTGGGATGTGGTGTCGCAGCCCTCCTTCTCCATCGTCTTACATCCTGGAGGAGAAATCTGCCTGCCTCTGGATCTGACCATCAACCTCATATCATGCCAGGGAATTAAACCATGGCAATCCCAGCAGGCAGCACCTTGGGGTGCCGTGGGGCAATGTCCCACCCTGGCACTAATTAATTAACCAGTGAAGATGTGACCTGGGATCACAAGGGGTGCTGGAGCTGGAGTGGGTGGGTTTGAGCCCCCACACCCCTGGATCCGAGCTGCCAATACTGGGCTGGCATTAAAACCACACATTTCTGGTGCTCCCTTTTCCCTCATTCCTAGGAGGATGGCAGGACTGGCCAAATTCAGCAAAGCCAGCCGGGAAACCCGATCGCTGTCTGAAAACCCTTGTCAGTGCTGGCTGCCCATGCTTATTTCACGGACAGCTATTTTTTTGCGTTGACAGATTCATGGATGTTTTTCTTGGGTGTAGTAAGCATAAGAAATACATCGTCTGGTTTCTTTCCTTTTTTTTTTTGTTGTTTAAACAAAAAGCAAAGCAGTCCCTGGAGGGTTCACCTATGGGAAGAGCTGCTGAAATAACCACAATTTATTGCGCTTTGTCCATCTCACTTTCCCTGGTGCTTTTCCAGATGGGGTCACAGCACGTGGGGTTCAGAAAGCTCAGGTTCAGGTGTGGCCAGCATTTCAAAGCATATCTCGTAAATCTGCATTACCCTTCACATACTAGATGTGCCCCTCTGCACTTCCTTCTTTCCCCTGGGGCTTCTGCCCAAATATGAATCTGGCCCTGACCCAGCGCTTCCCCTGGGGAGAGAAGCAAGGCCTTAGCTGAGCACAGCAGACGAAGGGTTAAGCCCCAGACTGTGTCCACTGGAGCTGGTGTCCAAATTCCTCCCGACTGCTTTGGCTGCAGAGCTGAGCCTCAAGGGGAGAAATGTGTCCACGTACAGAGCGACCCTTGGCAAGCGGGGTGCGCAGCCCTCTGCTCCAGAGGTGTTTCTCCCTGAGGGACCTGGCTGGAAGCAGATGCAACAGAGAAGACCTGGCTCTTGTGGCTGTACAGCACTTGCATTGTGGATGGTAGAAGGAGCTGGTTCAAACCATAGGAAAATATTGACTAAGGCTGGAAAAGCCCAGTCCAGGAGGGACACAATGCTCAGTGCAAGGGGAACTCAGGTCTCCTTCAACACTCACATGTGGGCATGGGAGATCAGCAGCATCATGCCGGGCAGATGGCTGAGCTCAGATGCTGGAGGAGCTGTTCTCTCTCTGAGGGCTTCTCCCTAAGGAGGTTCTGCTCTGGCATGGGCTCAGGACACAGCTGGGGTCCATGCTGCAGGGCAGCCGCTAGTCATGTGTCCCACTTAGCCAATACACATGGATGCAAGGGGTGCACAACCCCCAGCTCTTCCCACAGCACCTCACGGCTCCTTGTGGTCTTTGTTCCCCCCGGCTCCTCCATCTTGTTCCTTGGTCTCCAACCTTGGGGTCTGGCTGTTACATTGCTCTGAGCCCTAAGATGCTCAGACCCTTATTAGCACCAGCCCAGGTCTGACTGAAATCCAGCCTGTATCTAAGGGCAGATACAAAAAGAAGTTATGGGCTAGACTCTCAGGTGTGTCCTTCTGATGGTCCTTGACTGCTGGCAAAAGGCCACAGACCAACTAGCATGTCTGCTGGCAAGCAAAACGTGCATGTGTGTGTATGTGTCTGTGTGTGGGCACACGTGTGCATGCTTGTGGGAGCAAAGCTGGTTTATATAGGTTCCCACTGCAATAGGACCATTTTGTCTCGTTGTCCCTACTCTAGGGCTACCTGGGGAGAGAGGACCACCAGGACCACGTGGCTTGAAAGGGGACCAAGGAGACCTTGGCCCTCCAGGTCCACCAGGGTTGCGGGGATTCAGAGGTAAGGACCAGCTTCGGTGCACAAGTTCCTGGTTGGGTCACTGATTCTAGCTGGGCTTCCTGCAACAAACTGGCTCTGGAGACCAGTGTCAAGAGGGCAGAGACACTGGTTAGCGGGTGTGAGAGTGGCAGGGCCCAGGGCCCATCTGCCCTGGCTCGTGACCTACCTGGAGCCTCCCAGGCAGAGAGGAAATCTCACTGAGCTTGGAGTGTGCCCGCTTGCACCTTTGCATGAATAACATCTCCACTGAGTCCTTTCCACCAAGGGACAGCGGCAGAGAGAGTCCAGAGCTTGGAGGCAGAGGTTAAAACACTTGTTATGGTCGTGCTCCATCCAGCCGCAGTCTAGGAGTCCCTGGCTCCTGCAGCTCGATGAGGCTTGGCCAGGGGCTGGCAGGGGTGGCAGGGCTGCCTGGGCTGGGCGCTCACGGCCCTGCTGGCCTCTCCAAGGCCACGTGAGTGCTTGCCAGGCTGTCCTCCCACCCTCCCACGCGTGGCTTGGGCAGGGTTTTAGGCACAGCATGGAGTTCAGACTTTGTTTTTTCTGGTCACCCTTTCTGGCTCCCTGTGGTTTTGCAGAGCCTCACCACACCCAGGTTAAGAGCAGAGACAAATTCTGGGTGCGGAAAGTGTCTGTACACCTACTTAGCAGGACGGATTAGTCCCAGGAGACCTTCTAAAAAAGTACCATGCTGCGACTAAAACAGAACCAATAATCCCAGTTTCCAAAACAAGCTTTTTTTAACCTCAAAACACCTTGGGCGGCGGGGGCATGGGGGAGGCAGGAAGAGCCCAGCCCAACAGAAGTGGTGCCTCCCTAAGCAGAGTGGCGGGTGTCTGCAGCCTGCCCTGGCGATTGGGAGCCCCTTTGGGAGACAGCCTGGTGCATGGCAGTAGAGAGGGTGGGAGGTGCCGCGCCTTCAAATAGTGCACGCAGCAGAAAGCCGTCCATCCGTCCACGTTCTTCTCATCCCTTGCTTGTGTGTGACGTTGACCTGGGACGTGGCCACGCTGGCCCCCGTGGATGCGTGATTGTGGCCAGGGAAAAGGGAAGTACGGGACAGTGAGCATGCCTGGAATAACACCCTGAGTTCTGGGAATGGGGTGGTGTTGTCCCTTCTCGTGGAGGTCCCGTATGTTATATGTCTTACAGCCTCTCGCTGTCAACGGTACTACACAGTGAGTTCTTCTGATGAATTGCACATGTGAAAGCTAAAGGAAAATGTTCTCTTTAAGCACATCTCTCTCCTATATCTGCAAACTTGGCATCACACTGAAAAGATGGCCGGAGAGTTAGCTTCCAGTTTTCCTGTACATCCTTTGCAGTGTTTGGTGCCAGTCATTGCCAGAGGCAGGGATCCAGGGGAGACCTCTGTGTCCAGTCTGGTCGTCCTTCCTTCATTTGTGGCTAGCCGCAACTGTGTCCATCTCTTGCACCAGGCACACTAACCAAAAGCCCTACTGTACCTAGGGGCAGGACCAGATCGTCCATCCCTTCTTCGTTTTGTAGTGTCTTTGTGCAAAGGACCTTTTGTAGGGACATGCCGTCCTCCTCCCACAGTGTTGGTTCCTGAACGTGCAGACACAGAAGGCTTTAGCTCCAGGTGGAAAGGAGACGTAGGAGAATAGACACTTCCTGTGGCATAGCACGAGAGCAAAGTAAAGCTCTCAGAGCTGCAGCCCAAGGCAAGAAGCTCTTTTGCAGAATTAGTGCAATCTCTCTTAACGCAGCGATGCGATACGCGTTTGCTCTTCTCCGACTCTAATCTCTGTCATTTAGCACATCTCAGGCTAGCTGACTCAGCTTTGCATGCTGCATTCCTG